CTGGCCCAGCTGAAGCCCGACCCCTGGGCCGCCCTCCTGATGGTGGTGGGGGGTGGAGTGTTTGGAGGAGTAGGGGTGGTTGGCTGGGCTGATGGATTCGGAAACAAGCTGAATTGCCCAAGCCCCTGCCATTCTGTGGACACAACTGCCTGCAGTTTACTTCCTCCTGCAAAGTGAAACTATGCTACAGAAATTCCCCTGAGAAGGAAGATGGGCCAAAGGCCACAAATGAAGCCACATTCCTCTCCAGAAGGAACTTCTGCCCCTACCTCAGCCCCTTAAGAGGAGAAACACCTCTACCCTGCAATTTTCAGAGTCTGGTCTGGGCTACTGAGAGGGTTCCCCACTGGCAGCTGCTGGAGGGTGTGTGTTAAGTGGTGCCCTCTGGTGGCCGATGGCGGTCTTCACACTGGTGAGAGCAGGTTTTTAAGCATTTCTTTCTTCCAGATGCAAAAGATCATCCCTGGACTCAAGTGCCTTGTAAGTCTGCCAGCTCCAGTCAGAGCACAGCCCCACTCCCTCCTGCTGGTACAAGTCAGCCGGGAGCCCTGGAGTTCGTGGAGCTGCCTGTGGAGGGGCTGAGGGCAGGTGGCCATGATGGGGTCTGGGACGATGGCAGGAAGTTGCACCCAGGCTGACAGGAGAGGGAAGGCGAATGGGAGAATCCAGGGGCGGAAGCCTCACACTGGAGCATCCCCCCTACAGTGTGTGGGGGCCTGGGGGCAGGCGCAATCCCACACTGAATTTCTGATCTCTTTTCAACAGAATCCTTAATCCCCCTGATGGGTACTCCACCCCCGCTGGGGGCCATCATCTTGAAACAGCAAAGGCCAACCCCTTCCTTTGAATTAGCCAATCAAGAAAGACTGTGCACCTGAGCTCCAATCAAGAGCAAGGGATAGGTCACGTGCATTGGGGATTATAAAGCCAAGCAGACCCCTGCTCATGTGTGAGGACTTCCAGACCATGTGTGCGCACCCTTCTGTGTCGAAGTAAAGATGTGTGCCTTGCTGCCTGGCTCCCGAGTATGTTTTGTATTGGGACCTTCTGAATTGGGGGCTTTGCCTTCTGAATTGGGGGTTTGCCTTCTTTCTAACAGGTATAAATACCAATACAGTAGATGCTCGGTTCTCAAACTTAAATCATTCTGGAAGGCTGTTGGAATAGCGATGTTTTAAAAAACCAAATCCAGCCCTGACCGATTTGGCTCAGTGGATAGAGCATTGGCCTGTGGACTGAAGGGTCCCAGGTTCGGTTCTGGTCAAGGGCATGTACCTTGGTTGCCGGCACATCCCCAGTGGGAGGTGTGCAGGAGGCAGCTGATCGATGTTTCTCTCTCATCGATGTTTCTGGCTCTCTGTCCCCTCTCC